GCTTTGGTCCTTATGGAAGGACAGACAAAGCAGCGTAAATATATCGGAACAGATACTCACCAGACTCGTGCTGAAGGAACTGAGGCTCTTGGGACCATGCTTGTCTCCTTACCTCGGGAAGGAAAGGCCGATTCCCTTTTTTTTTTTTTGTAGCTGCTATTGTGGGACTATGAAAGTTTTATCTGCAAAGCGGTTGCAGCGCAATATTCTTCTTTTAAATCTGTGACTGACATGAATCTGGCCTTGTTCCTCCACAACTGCTTCAGCAACAGCAAATTATCGCTCCTGACAACCCTGTTACGACAGTCCCACCTTACAGCCCGAGGAACCTCAGCAAGGACAGGGGATGACTTGCCCAATGCAACCTGAAGGGACGGGTGTCAAAATGAAGGTGGGGAGAACCAAGCTCCTGCTGACCAGTGCTAAGAGCAAACTGCTGAACGCATCTCCCACGGAGTCTGGCAATCCCTTCCAGAACATTCCAGCTCATGCCAACGCACCCTGAAAAACGTGCTTTGAACCCACGAGAGCTGACAAAAACACACTTAAACTTACTCTATGCAGTACATATTAAAAAAAATGGGCACACCTGTTACTTTCTCATTTATATCTGTTAAAAAGAAACAGTAACTGAGAGATTAAGCCCTCCATCTGTGATACCATGTAATACAAGATGATTACGAAATCGTATAAAAGTTGGAAAAGCCTCACCTCCCCAGCTGCCAACAAAATGCAGGCGCTCAGACAGTTCCTCCTCCTGCCTCTCTTCACTGCTTTAGCTCTCGCTGAAGACAACTCAATAGAATCCATGGGTATGGAAATCATGTCTTTTTTTCACCTGTGAAATTTTATTAGTTTTTGCGTAATAGGTATTTTATAGGCAACTGAAGGGAAAAGTGTTAAACATATCTCTAGAAGTGCATCTTATTTTAATGTACTGCTGCACAATAGTAACACTGAAATATGCCAGCAAGTGTTAAAGATGTTAAATAGGAAAAAAAGAAAAAATTGCAATAGATGACTCCCTTTGGCAGACTTTTAACTTAAGAACTTGATTTTGAAGAGCTTTTACTCTGGAATTGAAATTTATAAATTAATACCATATTGGAGTAACAGGAATAAAGTGATTTAATTGGGAAATGGTTGCTTTTATTTGCTTTGTTTTTCCTTTGTTCGATCATAAGCAATAGACAGTCATTTATTGCTCGATCTGAGATCACCATTCTGTGCTCAAATCAGCAATTTACCTGATTGATGGTGGGTAGCTACTGTAGGATAATGAAGTATTGCTGCAGGTTTCTCTAGTGTGCCTGGCTACAGAACAGTCCAGAGGGATGAAGAGAGAGGGTAAGGCAAAGCTGACCTTGTAACGCTCTTAGAATTGGCAGGCTTCATAAGTGACAAGGAAGGTTTCGCCTAAACCTTTCTATTCCCTCTGGAGCTCATCAGAAAGTCTGATCTTTTTATCTGGGACAGCATACACAGTATAGGAGATTCTTCCTGCTGTTTTAGACCATTAGTTTTAGATTAATATTAAAGTAGAAAGGAGATCTTATGCCCAAACTGAATTATGAACTTTATTTCTAAAGTTTCCTATACAATGGCCATTTCTGCAGCTACTTCATAACTTATTAACATTCATTAAGTGATGTTAGTGATGTCCACCATGGTTGCTTTGGGTTTTCTTCATAAAAGAACTGGGTCAAAGTACAGCTAGCCCTGCATTCTGAACCCGGTAACAGTCAAGAGAGAATGCTCAGGCAAGAATAGGAATACAAGTCTGCATAATACTTCCCCAGAACACTCTTCCAGTCACTAACAGACGTGGTTCAGGATTTTTGAAACAGAGAGAAAGCACTACCTTTGTGTTTAATAGTTACTAAAGGCTTTGTCTTTCGTGGATTTGACCTGTTTTACCATCCACATCACCCTGCAGCAAAGATCCATGTGCAAAGAGCCAGCTCCTTTTGTTTCAAAACCACAACTTACTGGTTTCACTCCAGGCCACGGAATTACTATATTGGAAGAGAGTATCTCACACTAACCCTCTTCATGAATTTGCAGAACTCTAGCACCTCCTTTTCCCCCTAGTTATCTCTTTTCTGACCTGAAATGCTTCAGTCTATTTACTTATTCCTCATCTGGAAGCTATTCTAAACTTACCATCTTCACTGACATTCTCCGAAGCTTTTCCCATTTAGAAGTACCTTTTTAGAGATGGAGGATCAGCATTGTATGCAGCAGTAATCCCACACATAGTCCTTTAGAAGCTCAAATCTGGAAAGCCTTTCTGACTCCCTGAGCGTAGGTTCCCAAATGCTTTTAAGTCAAGGGCTGAACCTCAGAACTGGATTCGAAGATCTTTAGGAACACCGTG